TTTATTATTATAAAGATAAATATAATTTATTTATTTCATATATACAATATGAATGTCAAATCGAAGATCATCAAAAGATGATTAATTTGATATATTATATATGTAAAACCGATAAGAAATACAAAAGTTATCAACTTTTAAAATACATTTATAATTCAATAGCTTATTGAAGGAAACAAATCAAAATTTAGGGATATATTAGTCACTTAGTGCCTCACTATGTAAAATTACAAAGAATTAAAGGGTTATATTAGTAAAAGTGATATTAAAATACCTAAGTTAGCTAAATAATATTTATGGAATACCCGAACCTAGATTATTAATTATTAATATATCAATATTATTTATCCAAACCTAATTACGAAGCATGATTCTTCGCCAAATAGGATTCCGAAGCACCAGAAGCAGCCATGTAGGCTCAGCGCATTCGCGAATTATATATAGGGAAGATTAGTAATATTATTTATTTATTGAAAAATTTACTAACAATCATTATATTTTAAATTTATAGATAAGCTTTTGAAATTATTTATAATGATTTACTCTTTCTGTGTCTTAATTATAAATCGATATAGTTCTTTATAAAACAAATTATTTAGTTGTATTGTTATATTTTTTAATTTTGACTTTTTACTCTTTTTTATGTGTAATCACATATTTTTTAAATTTATATATATTTTTTTTTAAAAAAAAAAAAGTTCATTTGATAAGCTCTCTAACAAAAATATTATGCAATGTGGTGCAAAAGTCAAATTTAAATCAATTTTCCGACCAAAAAAATTATTTTTTTATAAATATAGATGTTGAACTTAAATTATAAATACATTAAATCTCTTTTTTTTTTTAATAAGTTTGAGGGTGATACAAATTCTATGTTTTTAAAAACATGATGGTACACGTATCTATATTTATATTTATAGTAAATACATTTTTATATGAAATGAGTGATCGACATTTAACAATTAAAATTGGGCCCCTCTGCGTAAAATTTCTAGATCCGTCACTGCGCTTCGCCTACCAGCTGTTGTCTTCTCCGTCGAGGGGCCCGGTCCCGCACTTCTGGACGATGATCTGGCGTGTCCCGGCTTCTCAACGAGTTCGACAATTTTTGTGGCTCGTCACGAAAGGGCGACTTCTCACCAACGTGGAACGGGTGCGGCGTCACATCTCGGTCTCGCCGGCTTGCGACTTCTGTGGCGAGCCCGAATCGATTTTACACGTCCTTCGGGACTGTTCCTTTGTGAAGTGTGTGTGGACCCGGTTGTTGCCAAGCGGCCATGATGATCAGTTCTTTCTTCAATCTTTGTCGGACTGGCTATGTGATAATCTCTCCCCGGGCCCGAAGCACTCGTCCTCTCTTTGGGATAGCACCTTTGCCCATGCAACGTGGAGCATGTGGAAATGGCGTAATGACCGTGTCTTTAATCATCGAACATTGAGCTGTGATGCAAGGAGGCTTGAGATTGCCCGCTTGACTGAGTCGTATACTCGTACGGCTTCCGCACTGAGACGGGTAGGGGCAAGTGTCCATATTACGCGCATGATTCACTGGC